GATCCATGGCCTTTATCAACCATATCAGAATGAGATATGACCGTTAACGGCTATGGATCTAGCCGTTAACAACCAGATCTATTTTGGTCTCCATCGTCGATCTCCGCGTTGATCTCCTCTCCGATCTCATCTCCGCCATCAACGAAGAGCCAAAGGTCGCTTGATCTAAACGATGCATTTTCTTGCTTCTTTCAGCGACTTCATGCAGCGGATGGCAATGGCAGGCAGTGGTTTGGGGTGGAGGGGTGATTTTATTATAAATTAAAGTTTTATATAAGCGAGGGTGTTTTAGCTAAATCTAAAATGTTGGGGGTTAAAAAAATTATTCAAAAATTCATAATAAAAATAATATTATATTAATATTTAAAAAGAGTGTAATTTAGAAATTTAAATAATATACCCACCAATTTATACCTCCCAACCAAACATATTAATATAACATACCCATCAATTTATTCCAACTAACCAAACACATTTTCCTAAAGATTCCCAGTAATCTTCAAGGTAATCTAACTTTCCAATAATCCAACATTTCTTGAACCAAACGCATCCTAAGAGTAATGTCATACTTACAACTGAATCATACAAACAGACAAAAAACAAAAGACAAAGTAGTTATTTTACATAAGAATAATACTACACATACATCATTCTCATACAATATTTCTCATACAACATTATGTGGCAAGATATGATTTGATGAAAGTTTAATTTTAACTTTAAATTAGCCAATCATATCTTGCCACATAATGTCGTATGAGAAATATTATATAAAAATGATATATGTGTAGTATTACTCTTTATATAAATTTTATAAAATTTTGTCTATTTGTATGACTCGGTTGTATGACTCAGCTATAAACAAAATATTATTGTAGCAGTAATTATAATTCACTTCTTTTATAGATCACTTAAATAATTTGTAACAATAATGTCTGGAAAGTATACCAACCTATATCATGAAGGAGCTTTTAGATGATCTCAATGGCCGAAAGTTGTCCTTGTAGAGAAAATGAAATGGGAAAGTATTTAACCAGGGTTTTAATTTTTAGTAATGCCTACATATACAAATTAATTATAAAAGTTATTCCCTATAAACTAATGTGATAACTTTGCATGTTTAACATATCAGCTACTTAATTGTTAAGTTTATCTCTAATTCAAAATTACATTAAAATACGTCAGTTTATATAGATGAGCTTGAATGAAAAATTTATATATGTAATATTATTCTTTAATTATTGAACTAATCACTTTTAAGGGTTTTGTCATAAGTTTTAAAAATCATGGGTGATAATAAGTTGGGGGTGAACAATAATTATTATTATGGGTGCTGATGAGATTAAGTGACCCTTGTTATTCTAATTAACTGGTAAGCAACGTGTCCAAAGAATCAGGATTATAATATATAAAGTTGTTCTGATTAACTGATTAATTAAAATGTGTCACAAAAACATGTCCAAGGGGTTGGATTTTTCTTTTTCCTAGAAAGGGCTTAGACTTGTGCAAAAACGTTTTGAGAGAGTCAGAAAAGACTTAAAATGGGAATTTAAATTATGTATAAAAGCATTATGCAAAAATTTTGGTAGACACGAATTTTTATGTCAAGTGGTCAATTCATCAACATCCTCGGATAAATGGCCTCATTGTGATTCTAATGGCACTCAGTGTGTCGTAAGATGTGTCACTGACAATTGCAAGTTTTAAATTTTTAATTTATTTAGTTTATTATTCATCGTCTTTAAATAACTAAATTCCTTTCCCCAAAAAAAAAAAAAAAAAAAAAATTAATAACTAATTTTTTGGAAGGGATGAGATTTATGTAATGCGGTTTAGAAGGGTACATTAATGTATTTGATGTACATATGATGCAAAGAATAATTAGGATTACAAATTTTTATATTCATGTTTATGCGGTACAAAATGAAAGAATAAATGTATATATATATATATATATATATATATTTAAATATATATATTAATTGATTTTAATTGAGATATAGAGAGAGAGAGAGAGAGAGAGAGAGAGAGAGAGAGAGAGAGAGAGAGAGAGAGAGAGAGACCTACTTATTATAAGGAAGTTATAATTTAATAAAGGTATAGTTACAAAAAAAATTTTATAATTCATGTTTTATTAGTATAATATTAAGATTTTAATTCAGCACTTCAATTGTCTACTTTTGAAACGGATAGAAAATCGTATCTTGGAACCAACAAAGATAAGTGTATTGTAAATATAGTTGTTGCATGGTCAAATTGATCTAAAGCCACAAACAATTGTCAATTGTTTTAAGCATTACAAAATTAGGACCCCCTATATCGCTAAATTACAAATTACAAATGAAGTGATGAGAAGAATCAAGGACAACTTCACTATAATAATAAAATAGATATTATTGTCTTTCTCAATGATCCAAATGAGCAACAAGTCATGTATGTTTTAACTGAAGAAGAAATCATTACTACAATTAGACTTGGCAAAACGGGTGGGTGGGTCGAGTACGGGTCGGGTCTAACAGGTGCAGGTCTCACGGGTACGGGCCCAAAACGGGTCGATTTAAACGGGCCCAAATTTTGAACCCGCACCCTACCCTATACGTGTATGGGTGGACCCGCAAGTGCCCGTACTGTTCACTCCAATTTTAGATTTTTGCAGTTACACCCCCAGATCTTCTTAAAATCTTCATTTTTGAGCAAAATTTGTCACCAACCAAACAGAAAAAAGAAACCCACGTTTTCTCCCAAGTTTTCTCACCAGCCAAACATAAACCCAGAACCTAACAAAGAAAAAGATTAAAAAACTTTATTGATTGTCCTTTCATTCCTCATCAACCAAATAAACCCACATAAAAAAATATGAAAAAAGAAAAAATTTACAGAAGAAAAGCAACAGTTTGAGAATGAATTGACTCTGCAAACAGGCAAAGATTGAACAGAGCAACAAATGCTGGGTATTGGAAAGCAACTGGGAAAGATCGGAAAATAAAATCGGAAAATAAGTTAATTGGGATGAAGAAGACCCTTGTGTTTCATACTGAACGAGCTCCAAGGGGAAGAGAACCAATTGGGTTATGCACGAGTATCGTCCAACTTTGAAGGATCTTGATGGAACTTTACCTGGACAGGTTTGATTGAATTTTTCCTTTGGGTTTTTGAATTTTTGTTTTTGTTTGATTGAATTTTTCCTTTGGATTTTTGAATTTGTGTGATTTATGTTTTTGTTTTGTTGTTGGGTTTATTTGCAGAGTCCTTTTGTGCTGATGAGAAACGAAGACAGGAGAAGCGGCGACGATGAAGTTAGGGATTTCGGTGACGCTGAGTTTGAGAGAAGGTTGATGAGAGACATAGAGAGTGAGTTTGAGTTAGGGATTTTGCGATTTGGGGCAAAAACATGGGGATCACTTTGAGAATGAATTGACATGGTCTTAAAATTCTCTAAATCTTTGTCTGAAGTTGAAACTGAAGGAGAAGCAACCTGAGAAGAAAAACGTGTACCCGCAGGCACCGACGGGTGTACCCACTTGACCCGTTGGCAAAATGGGTCGGGCCAAGTACGGGTAGAAGAAAAACGGTTCCAATATTAAAGACCCACACCCTATATTTTTTATCCGGGTTTAGGGTCGACCCACGGCTCCAGACCCGTTTTGCCAAGTCTAGCTACAATTAGACAAGAAGAGAAATAAAATAATAATGAGGATGATAGTACGGAAATATAAAAAGTTTCATGCCAAGAAGCTTTAAACATGATTGAAAAGCTATAAATATTTTGTCTTAAAAAAAATGTTCATGCTAGCGAGTAATGTATGCACAAGTTAAAAAATGTAACAACAACTCTAAAACATAAATCACTCTTCCAAACAACTTTTAGATAAATATACAGAAAATTATTACTATGTGGAGATAATTTTTCTTAAGACGAGAATTAGAAAAATTATAGCTTATTACAATGTGGAGTTTATTCTTATTTATAACTATCTCAAATTGGAAATATAATTTCTTATGACTATGTAGAGTTTATTCTTATATTGAATATCACTACAGAGAGGTTTATATCAACATATCAAGTACATTACTATAAAAAACTACACTATTTGATCTGAGTAATACTACATTTATAACCCAATCTCACAATTTTTTTCTCATAATCCCAATATGACAATTCATAATTGGTCAGCTCGCAATGAGTCATGTTTGCCCAATTGCAGGTCTCGTCTATCTAATTATGAGCTGACTAATTGTGAATTGTCACGTCAAGATTGTAAGAAAAAATTTATAAGATTCTTTATGGATTTGGTCTCCTAAAATGGGTAAGGATTAGTTATTAAGAAGTATAAATAGGATATTGATAACAAATGTATCCCTATCTAGTACTACTTAATAAAACAGAGACAAACCCAAGAGATTGACATTAACGTCCAGAAAATGATTGGTGTGAAAGGAAGGCGTCAGGAAAGACTCTTTTCCATATTCCGTTTCAATTTTATTCGAATTTAATGTGATACTGAGATGACTTTAAACTGAAGAGGACACCTACAATCAACCGGTAACAATATCTGTGAAGGATAATTAATTACTAGAAAAATGGATGAAGAAGAACTTGGCATGCTCTCAGAATTTTTGGTAGTTCAGCAAGCATTTCCTATGTTAGGATCGAGTCGCCATGCAGGTGGTGAAAAACCATCCAATCTGTAAAATTCTTAAATGAGTTGAACGAAATATATCATTCATGTTCATCCTTCTGAAAAATATAAATCATAATTACAGTTAATCAGATGAAAACTTAATAAGTTTGATTGCAGCAATTATTTTCGTATTCCCCAATTTTCAATAATCAAAAGCAAGGAAACTTAAAATTCCTGCCATCCCGGAAGGTCATAAACAAGTTATCATTTCACAACATTATTCCACGAGAATAGAAACAAAAGTTAAACAAGTTTTATCATTGATACAATACACAGTATCCACAAACTAAAAATCAACGCCAGGCCAGAATAAACCGAAACATTAGAATTGGCAAAATCTGTATATTAAGTAGAACATTTAAAAACATTGTCCCATAATCCATACAGATTTTAATAAGCATTGGCATGTTAGCCCTCATATGCTGCCCATCAAAAGTAACATCCTTTAGGACCTAGAACCTAGATTAAATTACTAAACATTAAGCTGGATGGAGACAAGGTTTATGACCAGATCTCATAGAAGATTTACTTTGATTAGAACAGTAACAGTAAGCTAGTATAGGAAACTCGGTGCATAAAAAGGTTAATAACGTAAAAGAAGCTGCTAATTGTTCTTTTATATACAAAACTGTCAGCTGGTGGTCGATATGGTTGGCAATCCCTACTTCCAGCCACTTCCAGTATTAAGTGGTCACTAGATGAGTACCAAACCGTGGAAGAACACACGAGTAAGTGACATACTTGACACTGTCCATAAGCACAACAACAAAAATCCGAGAAAGTGACTTTGGATTGATTGTGCTATCAACATCACCATCACCAGCCTCTCTGGGATCGACAAGCACGGAGACAATCATGGAAGAAGCAGATTTATTACCTTGAAATCTGTCCTGAGACTTTCTTTCCACATGTTCCCTGCTAATATTTAGATCGGAGCCAGTAAAAGGAACTGGAAGACCGTGGAGAATCCTTCTATTCTTCCCCTTGTTAACATGAGTAGCATTCTGACGGTCTTCCACAGAAATATTAGCAACTGATGATGCAGGAATAATGGCTCCAGAAGCAGAAGCCGGTGACACATCAAACTGGAACACTTCAGTACACATTCCAGAACTCAGCAATGGCCCTGCAGAAAGTCTTAGGTATAAGCACAAAGAACAAATATAGACTGCATTGGCAGATCAAATTTTGTTTAGAATGTAAGCCTATCCTATTCAGCAATAGTGGAAGTTGTTAAACAACGTCCACAGTGGAAAAGAAAAAACGCTACAAAGTCTATAGTCACACTACAGATATCGTTGTAATAGAAGCACAACAAAGAATTTACCATGTCAAAAATAAATAAAAAGGCTCTCCTAAAGAATGATTATACAATAATACATCCCTTATGTCTACTGAGCAAGGCTGCAAAATTCCAATACCAATGGTTCGTTATGGATATCAATAAAGATGATCTAATGCCCTTATGATCATTTCAATTAAATAAAATTGATCAAACAAAAACTTACACATATTTTCAGCTACCAACAGTCACAAACAATTGCACTGGAAAATAGAAATGTTATATAATCTCTGATTCATGGCATTGAAGTTTAAATAGCAAAGAGTACCTCAACAGTACATGAGTAGTTGATACAACAAGATGTGAAGAAATTAATATAAATGAGAAAACAAGAAAACAGTGACTACCTGCAAGACCTTCTTGGAACCACTGCTGCAGTCTACGATCAGCTGCAGTTGATTTCATGTGGTCCTTCAAGGCATCAGCAGAACCAGAAGAGATAGCCTTCTGTCGCTCAGCAGGATTCCTGTATACATTTGAGTGCCTCCCACCACTCCCTCTGTCAGGAATAGCCAATGCTTTGGCGAGAGCCAGACCAGTCTCCCTCCTGTTATCCACTTTAGAAGACTCACGAGAAGCCTCTTGAGAAGCCTTAGTTTTCTCACTAGCCAGAACAGAGTGAATTATCAAGTTGCCATCAATCTTCACAAGCTTATCATTCCTCGGCACATACAAAGAGGCAACAAGTGGCTCACTCGCATTGCCCAGATTAACAAACTCATCTGAACCAGGTGAAGCCTGTGACCCTCTCTCTTTCTTTTCAACACCTCTCTCACAATGTACTCTATTACCAATATCAAATTTCCCATTGGAAAATCCAATCCTTCTATCCTCATGAGATCCATTCAAATGCCCATTAACCGTTAAAACTCTCCCTCTGTGTTGATCATAGAATCTACTACTAAAGTAACCACCAGAAGCACCATCCCTCATACCTCCATATTTAACATCCACAAGAGGCACCAATCCACCAAACAACAATACAAAAAACAACAGGCCCAGAAAACTAACACTAGCAACCTTCTTAGTTTTACTACTAGTTTTACAACTATCATTCTTCTTAGCCTTAGCAGGAGATGAAGTCTGATTAGTCTTCAACCTAGGAATAGGCACTAATGGGGTCTGAGAACCTTGAGGCTTCACCATATAAGGTGTACCACAAGGCATCCACGCGTAAGGCATCGCCGCCATGTGAGGTGGCGGGTATACTCCCATATGGGGGTGTCCCTGCGGTGGTGGTGGCATTGCGCTGCCGCTACTCAACTGTTGCCTCAAACTGGCATTCTCAGCCATAAAAAATGATATTTTACCATTCAATTCGGCAATTGTGGAATGCATAGCCCTCACCTTGTCTTCTAGCTCCTCCACGTAATGCTTCTTTCTTTGTCTAGACAACTGGGCGCTCTCTCTGTTTCGCATCAGCCTAGCCTTCCTTTTCATATCCTCCTCATTCATATTCTCATTCGAGTTCTCATCAGCCAACGACGATCTATGATATTTACTGCTTCTTAACTCGCTATTCGTCTCTTCAATATTTTTTTTCCTCTTCGAGATACTCTTGTTCACTTCCTCCACCTTAATTTTCTGCTCAACCACCAAATTACCCGAATCCGGAGACAGAGAATTCCCGGATGAAACTCCCGACCCGAAATTCCCGGATCCCTGAGAAGACAAGGGCTCGCAGCATTTAGAATCCGAATTCGAGCTCTGATTACCCGAATTTTGCGGCGATGTCGAGTAATTCAGGTACATTTCAACATCTAACAACTGGCGACTACCCGAAATTGCAGAACTTCCCGACTCGGGCGAGGCCGTAACCGAGAGTTTAACCTCGTCCGGGCTAGTATCAGCATTTTTCAAACACGTGACTCGGTCAACATCGGATGTGGAACGACCGAAATGACCGTCGGGGAGGAAAAAGTTGTCGGACTCGGAAGGGAAGTAGAGGTTGTCGAGATCGTCAAAGGAGATATCGAAATCGCAGTTATCCTCAAGAACGAAGTCGAGATCGTCGGAGGAGGAGGAGGTGTGATTCTGTGCGGAGAAGAACATGGGATCGAGAGGTGGAATTGGGAGGGAATTGAAGTCATCGGAAAAATTAGGGTTCGGAGGTGGAGGTTCAGTAAGGAGTGGATCAGCCATTTTGTGGTTTGAATTTGGATAACTGAATTAGGGTTTTCGGTATGGAGAAGGAAATAGAGAAATGGAAATTTTGGTGTTAGAAATTTCAAAATGGAAGACTTCAATGCCGAAGAGGAAGAAGACTTTGGGTGGGATTGGGGTTTTAGTGGTCCTTCTGCGGAAGGCTCGTGGAACGTACTACCAATGTTTGTCCGTGACTCCTTAATGCACGCGCCACCTGCCTTGTCTTTAGATCCCTTTCTATATTTTTTGCTATGGGAAATGAATAATATTAAGAAAGGTAAATATAATTATCAATTAAATAAATAAATTATTACTTATTAAAAACTTCAAAATATAAAGGAAACATATTTAACATATTATTTGGTCAAAATTTTCTCTAAATTCTATATTATAATTAAAAAGAAAAAGATACTTATAAACTTTGAGGGAAAGAAATTTATTTTAAAAAAGACATGATCAAAGTCTTACAACTACATTAAATACATATTATTTCAAAATCAGTGACTTGTCATAAATAAAATCTTATAATATCCACTATTTGTTTTGTATTAGTCTGTCCAGATTTAAGATTAAGTATTTAAAATCATATTAATTTTATAGTATATATTTATTATTAGAAATAAATAATAATAATAATACCTTCAGATTCAATACGGCAATACCTCACAAAAGTCACTTTCCAACTCTTTTTCTCCGCCCTTGCAGAGTGAAGCCACGCGCCGTCCGATCCGCTTTATACTTATTTATTGTTTTTATTATCCAAAAACGGGTCATAAATCGGAAGTCCACTGAGTGCGCGTGCAATCTAATTTCTAAACATAGGGACACGTGTCCTGAAATCAAGGAGCTCAGAGGAACAATAGGCCCCATGTGAGGTTGATTGGTGGTTTGGAATGATGCGTGGAACGTGAGTGATCAGAGTTCAGAGCAGAGAGGAGCGTGTAACGCAGAGAGTGGAAGACTAAATTTTGTTATCCTGAAAACCCAATGACACGTTCATAACATGTGATGCAGGTTCACCGAGTGTATCTGGAAACTTTGGCAGATGAAATATGGGCCCCCCATCTGAACAAACTTTGACGAGAAGTTACGTTGCCGTTACGCTTAAGTGCTGACTTGGTGACGCTGCGTGGCCTTTTTTTTTTTTTTTTTTTTTTAATAATTAGAGCCTAGAGGTACAATATTTTTCATATGATGTGACAAAAATAATTAGGTAAAAAATTATTTTTAATTTAAAATTAATCAGTTATCTTTTTTCAAATTATATTATATGAAAATATTATACATGTAATATTATGTTTTTTTTTTAATTTCTTGATTTTAGTGATCAAATTTAAAAGGGGATAAATGTTTAATTTAGAAGAATAATTTAATTTAGAACACTCCTCTATTATAAGTCAAAATCTATTCTTAGTATATGCTCTTAAGAAATTACAAAATAAAAAGATATTAATTATATTTTTCATTTCTACATTTTTATCCACTAGATTATAATAAATATCTTTTCAATTTTAAATCCAAGATTTTAAGAAATTTCTTTTTCTATTTTTGGTCTAAGATTTGAAGTTACAATGACTTGTATCCATTTTAGAAGAAGAGATCCAATCAACTATAACAAGTTTTATTATCCAATGGCACAATCAAAACCCTAGATGCTTCTTGCTCCCACTATTCTCCTACTCCTCTTTAATTATTATTGTTTCTAAACCACTCCATTACCTTTCCTTTTCTATTTCTCCACTACTATCCTCAGTTGGTAACTCAAGTTTCAAATAAAAATTATATAAATGCAAACAAATCTTACAAAGATATCTAATGTGGCATAAAATAAATTCAAAGACTAAATACAAAAAGTCAAATTTATCATATTCACTATTCTATTCATTTTCTATCATATCAATTTATATTAAAATATTTGTTATTTTTTGTCATATCAGTTTGTATAGAAATCTTTATAGCTAATTTGTATAGAAATCTTTGTCATTTTCTACCATGTCAGTTTATATAAAAATTTGTAAGATTTGTTTGTACATTTAATATTTCTCAAAAATAAAATTCATCCCAAATTAGAATTTGAGTAATACTATATTTACAAAGTCATCATACAAAGATGTGTATAAAGTAATACATGATTGAGAGAGTGAATTTGACTTAAATTTAAAAGTTAGACTTTACAAATTGGCTCTCCCAATCATTATGATAAATCAATAATTTTAGAATTTAATACTATGTATATAATATTATAATCTCAATTTTGTCTAATACCAATACCAACATTAAATATAAACTTATGTGATAAAAACTTATCAATAAATAATTAAATATAGAACTGCACATTCAGCAATCAAACAACTTGATATATGTAACATCATCCTTTCTGTGTTCACTTGTAATTCAGAATTTCAGATTGGTAGCATATCTCAAGTCCCTACAATTGGGTAAACAAGTTTATAGAGGCTTAGGTTATTCTGAGGAGAAGAAAAATATGAATAAATAGTTAGTTTCCAACTTTCCATCGCCAGTTAAGGTTGAAAACAAACTGCTGCATTGATGAAAATCAGATCCCTGTAGATGCTGCTACCATCTCCTATAGAACATATTTTATATAAATAAAACACATCTTCATTGATTTTTAAATATACAAAACAAATTTTTTATAAATCATAAATAAAATGTATAAATACTTACAATTTATTATTTAAAATTAAGATAAAAGTAAAATTTAATTTTTGTTTCATAGATAAACTCTATAAAGAGTTTAAATCATATAAAAAATCATTTAAATTCTCATGCCCATTAAAGTTGGTAAGTAACCTACCTCTCTAAACTTGCCAAATGTTACTGAAAGAAATGAAAATGGTGGGGAATTAATCTATTCACAGGCTAAATAACACACATATAAGTGAACTGCAAAATATGATTGCAATAATATAAGTCCTCCTCCCCAAATGCTTCCAACCAAACCTTATGCATTAGTACTTGGCAAAATACACTACAAAAAGAGAAAACTAAAAGGACTACGTTGAAAAATTGATTTAAAATTATAAAGAAACCAAATTTTACATATGGAATTACGAAAGTTGTTGCGTTTTCTTCCAAAATTGTAGGGTTCCCAGTTGCCACAACTCCTCTTCAGAAACGTATCAATCCTCACTTTTCTTCTTCTTCTTCTTCTTCTTCTCCTTCTTACTCGCCACTTCTGATTCTTCTTCATTTTCTTCAGAATGCTTTCTCTTCTTTTTCTTTTTCTCTCCTACTTCATCGTTTACACCGTCATCCTCAGATGCCTGCTTTTTCTTCTTCTTCTTTTCTTTTTTTACTGACTCTTCACCTTCTGCTTCAGCATTGCCATTCTCCTCACTCTTCTTCTTTTTCTTCTTCTTCTTCTCTTCACCAACATCAACCTCCTCAACTGGTTTTTCTTCAGCATTTGCCATCAAACCAAGAATGGAATCTGCTGAAGGGTTATATGTCTACAAGAAGGAGAACAATGGAATTAACCTGCAGTAAAGGGGCAAAAACTGAAAAGCCAATATAAGAGATTAAAGACATACCTTTGCAGAAGTTATCATCGCCCCAGGTCCCTTCTTCCGGTCTTTATCATAAACTTCAATCTTAGGCTTTCCTTTAGCTGACCCAGCAGCACGACCCAATTCTTTCCCTTCAAGATTCCTTAACCGTGCTTCCAGCTACAAATAGTCATGGGTAAGAAAATTCTTCCATAGCAGCAAGAAAGCAACAATGAAAGACAAAGTGCAAATTACCTTGGCTCGGTTCTCAAGTCCCATAGAGTTATCTTCACCATCTCCAAGAGCATCACATCGAATTGCCAAAGCAGTTTTTGCAGCAAGTGACCGAGAAATTTTTCCCTTATGCTTTGGAGCCGCCTGACCAATCAAGGATGCGTGGTAGATTAGCCCATACTTGGGAGTCGCATGCTTAGTCTTCAGAGCTCTGAAGAGAGCCTTTTCTGCACCAAGAATCTGAACAGTGCTACCAGGCTGCTTCGCAAGATTCAACAAGCTGCCTCCATGGGCAATCAGACGAGCACCAACAAGCTCTCCAACAAGTGCAGTCAAATTTGGTGCAACTGTGTTCATTCTGCTTTTTAGATAATCATATAACTGAGCTCTGTACTCAGCAAGCGACAAAACCTGATCACATAGCTCTTTAATATTTATCAAATCAAGATCACTAACTTCAGTTCCCATAGAAATCATAGCTGCCTCTTTCAATTCTGTTTCAATTTCTTCAGGTAATATCTGTAAATTTCAGAAAAAAAGGAAGTGATTCCATCATCTCAGTGTTCTAGCAAAAAAAATAAATAAATGGTCGACATCATCCTAATGGTGACATATGATGCAATATTAAATTCTACTTTGTCAATCCGTCACAACTTTACCTCAGAAAAGTCAAGCTTTGCAGCATTAGTACGGTTACCCATCATCTTCACTGCCTTGGCATATTGGATATTGTCCTGAATAATCTTGGCAAGCTCGGGAAAATGCCAACCATACCATTCCCGAACTCTCATGGCATATGTATTAAGCTCTTTATCAAGATCATCAAGCAAACCAATAGCCTGAATGATCATTGTATCCACCTAAAACAAGAAGAAAAAAATTACAATTTGACCACCACCTCAGATATTATTTTTAAAAAAAAAGAGAGAGAGAGAGAGAGAATAAACGAGTATCGCATATATATCGTAAGATGCTCCTAAACTTATATCAGCCAGAAATAATGTCTCAAAAATCATGTTTAGGAGAACAGAAACATCCATTGCTTAATGATAAAGCAAAAAACAAAACAAAATTGACTTTTGGTTCAACAATCCTATTTTCTAACCTGATAATCTTGGAACCAAACTCTAATTTCCAAATCAATGAATCCTAAAAACCCACGAGAGCATAAAGGGTATCAACTTTTCACACTTTGTAGACAGAAGGCATTCAATTGGTATAGAAAGGAAACATCAGATGAGTGTAGAACATATAAACAAGACTAGACAAAGACACTCCTACATGACAGGAACAGGGGAATTCACTCACCCCTCTCCCATCCCCCAACCAAAAGGGATCAATCTTGAGACCTCTCTCTTAAAGATGGCAGAGCTACCAATTTGCTACAAGGGCCAATGGCAATTAGGCAACAGACTAAAATACCTTTGCCAAAAGAGTAGAAATAATTATTCTTTTAATACAAGGACTATGGGCACAGACCCAATTAGATCTTATATACATTTGTGACATTCAAGACATCCAAATCCCTTTATTTTTACATCCCAAGATTTCTATTGACAATAAAAATAAGCAGATTTATGATCAACAAAGATCAATTTCTTTGGATAAACCATTTAAATTAACAATTGGTAAAAAATTTCAAATAACCACCAACTTTAGTATATAAAAGTACCTTGTCAGCACTGAACTTGAGCTTGTATCTAGAAAAACTATGAGACAAACCCAAGCTCATTGGTTGCAGATCTTGAACAGCTAGACCAGATATGAGTTCGGTCAAATGACTCCTTACGCCTCTCATCAACTCCATCACGGTATTGTTGTGAACGCATTCTATTTTCTACATAACAATAACCGCTCCAACTTCAACATAAATGAAAAGCAAGCAGCTAAAGCAAACAAATTATCACCCATCTTTTAAATAGTTAGAATATATACAAACCAGTTTTTCCTTGATTGCATTGCCAAGCTTGGAATCAGCCACACCTAAAGTCTCACCATCACAATGGGCACGCAAGAACTTCCGAAGATCTTTGCTGGGTTTACTATCCAATATACAGGTCGCTGCTTGCAAAGCTTCTGATGTATTTTCGAACTTCGAAAATGCTTTCAGCTTGACTACCTGTCGTTGGTTTTAAAAAAAAAAAAAAAGAAAACTTGTTAGATCATAAACTAAACACATCTTAAACTTCAGCTATACCACAAGTATAAAAATGCTTCTGTTTTTAAATTTATTTCCTCATTTTGACGCTTAACATTGCACCATCAGCATAAGAGAATTTGAATACTTACAAAAGGAAAAAAAAAACAGGTCCATGACAAAAATTATAAAGTTATATACACCACAAAGATTATGGCGTGCAACACTAGAAGAAGAGCAACTTCAGAAACACAGAGTGAGAGACTAAAGAATCACCTTTCTGGCTGACTCCGGGCTGTTAAACTCTTGGCACAAGCCCTGCAACACGAGTTAAATCACCATCAGGAAAAAAAGAAAAAAAAAAAAAAAAACGCACACTTAAGCTCTCATATTTAAAAATCTAAAAACAAAACACTTTGTCCCCATTCTTCAACAACAAGAAATGCAACTGGCCAGTATAAAACAAATGCTCAAACTTTCAAAATCCTCCATTATTTGCTACAAAAAGCAAAACCCTTCACAGAAATCAGTTGTCTTAACAGAGGTGAAACTTTGAGTGGAAGCCGAGGTAAAATAAACACAGAATAAAAATTTTATATGATCATAATGAAGGTGAACGATGAGTACCTCAACTTTAGAGAGCTTCCCCTCATCCAATACTTTGAAAAGGGCAAAACCCGCAGGAGTTTCGAACAACACTAACATGGTTGGAACACAACTGGGACTGCAACTCGGTTGCTTGGCTTTCCTTTTAATTCTGCTGCGTTCTAGAGACAAAGAAGGGTTTCTAGGGTTTTAAGAGAGAGACAACGAGGGTTTTATTAGAGAACACGAGAGTCTAGGTTAGGGTTGATGATGGGCCGGGTCAGAATTTTTTTATTCGGCAGTTTGCATTATGAGCCTGGTTTAAGTATATATGATTACGGCCCACCAAGGCCCGGCTCATAAGATTACTATATAGTGATAGGCCGGGCCATAATAGTTTTATTGGGCGGTTAAAGTGTTGGTCCTGGTTTATGTATTTATTATACGGCCCATGTAGGTCCGGCTCATAAGATAACGTGTTGTCTAAAACAATTGCCAGACTAGCTTGAACACAATGTAATAATATAGTTGTCAATAATTTTTATATCTTTATTTTATTTTGATTTTTATAGTTTGTAATAACATAATTATCATGCATGCAAAAATATAAAATTAACTTCATAATAAGGACATATTGTCAAAACACCAATAAAAATAAACAATACAATATTTATAATCAGACAATAAAAAAAACAAATAAACAACATTTTCAACACTTAAATTCATTTAATTTTCAAATAAAAAGACAATTGAATATCTAGCACTATCGGTCTACGTCCATTTAAAGTCATTCTAGCTCAATTCATTGACTAGATAGCTAGTCTTCCATTAGCATTCTTAGGGATGAACCTTACCCTCTAGGAAACTCTTGCCACTCATTCTAAAGAGAATAGCGGGACGACTGAAATATCCCTAGGTGAAAGTATTAGTCATTCATTGATTGCAGAACCTACATATTAGCAAACATACTCTATTTGCAGGTCGGAGGGATCGAGGGATCCATGTTCCATTTGCGAGACCCTGCCAAAAAAACAAACATCACCTAATATCTTTGAGTATTTTAAGCACATATTTTATCCTTTAATCCAAATTTACAAAAAATCATATAAAATTATTTCGTCACCACTAATATTTCTAACTCCTTTTTTTATAAAACAATCATAAAATCATATATTATCTAATCTATTAGATCTCTTTTTATATGATAATATTTTATCATTTTTAGGGTTTTGATATTTAAGATATATAACCTCTATCTTATCGTTTGAGGAATTTTTTATACAAGTTTATAATTAATGGAGAGAGATAAGTTTGGGATTACAATCAGAGTTGATTTACAATCCTGTGATCTTCGGATCGTGCGCTTAGATTGCGCTATCAATGGTGTTGATCTTATCCCTTCTGAAGTATTCGAGATTGGAGTTTATCTTTGATTTCATTGAACAACTGTTTGAATTAATCGTTGTGACGAGCTTTACCTGGGTCGAGCTTACTCCTAAATTAAACTAATTTTGGGTCGAGCTTGTTCTTGGGTTGAACTATCTATCTGCGAGCTCTTATGGCAAAATCACACACAACAATCATCAATACATCTCATCAAAAATGTTTCACCACATGAAAGAATGGAACTTCTATTTATTATTTTATTGTTATTATCATTATTATGGGAGAAAAGAGAATTGCAGAAGAAGAAATTTGATTTATTTTATATTTAAAGTAAGGTTAACTAAAAAGGATGGCTGAGAGTACAGTAAGACAAAGAGCATTATATTAGGAATAATACTACACATACATCATTTTCATACAACATTTCTCATACAACATTATATGGCAAGATATGAGTGGGTGAAAGTTTAATTTTAACTTTAAATTAATCAATCATATCTTGCCATATATTTCACCCAATCATATCTTGCCATATAATGTTATATGAGAAATGTTCTATGAAAATGATGTATGTGTAGTATTACTCTTATATTAGTTCTATGAAAAGGCATTCTTCGGTTGGACAAGGCGGGTTTGCCTCAGCTCAGACGGTTAACTTGATTTTGGGAGTCTGGTTCCAGATGGTTTTTTCCTTAGTATGTTGGTTGTTAGGATTCGTTTAGATTTTTCTATTTACCAGTTTGTTTTCCGGTTTGTTCCACGGCTTTCCTCAGCCAAAAGTGAGGCCTGGCAATAAAAATTGGGAGGAAGGCACGCTAAGGTGACTTCGTCTCTTTCATAAAAAAAAAAAATAAAAAAAAAAATTTTACAATAAATGGTTAGGTTCGGGTATTGTGTGTTTATGTACAGATTGGGCCACTAAGACTTGCCATAGTGTGTTTGGGCTTGTAAGCCCAATGTGCTAGAATTATGAGTAGTGTTAAACGGGCCAAAAAAACTTATTGGAGCTTTTCGACAATTTTATCAATTACAAACCTAGACTAATAGCCATTGTTATGTATATGTGAAACTAAAGCAAAATTTTATTGTTAATGGAGGTAGTTATTAGAGTTTTTATCCTGTCAGTAATTTTAGGATTCTGATGGATTAATTGAGATATGCATAAGTTAGTTTGGACATCTTGATCATAAAAAAAAGAAAAAAAAAAGCAAAATTATACTTTAAAATTGTATATGAATTAAAAAGACCAGAAGACTAGTCAGATAACATATAGATAAAAGTATACGTTTTTAGTCTAAGAATAGTAAGCCTTTTAAATATAAGCACTTCAAAATTGATAGAAACGGCTAAAACAGTAGCCAATATTAGTCCAAAAGGATAGGTCATTTTCTTCCCAACTTCTTCTGGCTTCCATTAAGAAATTACAAAAAACATACAAGATATAACTATTCTTCTGAAGTATATATCATGTCATAAGCAAACTAACACACAACCATATTAAATAACATGTTCACAGAACATGGTTAAAGAAGAGATAACCATCCCAGTAATCTCCCTTGAGAAATCGTCAATGGCATCTAGGGCATACATATATTCCCTGCAAGAAACTATTGAATATGTGCATAATTCGGAGATGTCATTTTATATCTCCTTCCTCTTAATATAAAGTATTGCATAAAGAACAACAAAACCTCCTAAATAAAGAATATGCACCAACCAACCAACATCGATCCACCACCAATATCACCAATAACAGCGTCCAGAAAACACTAACATAAGCTTTCACCGCCACCGAATGCACCAACAACTTCTGCTCCACCATCACCATCGCGTCTACCACAATGTCGCCTGACACCATGTCTACCACCACAAGTGACCACCACTAAAACCTCTACCACCTTGGCCGCCACCAAAACTGCAACTACCGTCCAATTTTTATGCCAAATCACTATACTTAAGCAATAAAGAGGGGAAGAGATGAGATAGTTTGAGAAGAAGAAAGATTCTTAAAAAAAGACTACACTTACCTTGTAATAATATTATCCAAAAACATAAACAATATGCATAAAATCACAACATAAAACAATTTAAACCTTCATCAATCATCATTTTCTAAGAATGTGCTTGAAAAGGAGGTGAGCAAGCCACTCATCTGTATTTTGATGCCGATCCGTCCACACACTACACATAAACAGAGGTCTTTGATTACTAACTATAACTCGGAGTTTAAGGAGAAGATAGCTTCTCATTTCTTGTTCATCAACAAATATATCCTGATGCAGTTTGAGAAACAAAACTGCCTCTGTGCAACAGGAAATTAATGCTCTAGGCAACACTTGCCTTCCTCCATCTTGGCCGACACTAACTTACCCTTCCCCATTTACGTGGCCCGTAATGTCACGTGGTATGCCATGTGACGTGTCACGTCAGTTTGAAAACCTCTTTATACATTTTGTACAAATAACTTTACTCTCGTTATCTAATCATGTTAAAACTATGAGGAAAAATTACTGTAAACCCCTTAAGGTTTTCGATATCTACTAAACACCCTTTCGAATAAAAAATAGTTCTCGAACCCTTACCCCTTTGTCAACCATTAACACTTTTTGGTTAGTTTCAAAAGTTGGAGGATAACTAGGTAAATTAATAATGATTTATAATTCATAACAACTAAAGTTAGTTGATTAATAATTTTTATATTATAAAAAAAATGATTAATATTTTATAATTAATAAAAATATTTGAGTAATCATTTATAATTAATAAAAAAAAAAGTATTTAACCTTAGTCTTTAGATTTAGGTCATGTTTGTTAAAATTTGGAATGCATTTGTTATTATGAAAAGCCCATTGGATGCATTATCATTTACGTCAAACTACAAGGAGGTAATTTTTACTCTCCCTTTGATATTTCCATGTAAACCTGCAAATGAGTAATATTATATTTACAAAGAAATCATATAAAAATTTACATGTACAAAAAATGTATAGAAGAGTAAAATTAATAAATTTAATTTTTTGTTTTACTCTTCTATTTATTTTTTATCACCTCACTGTATATAGAAATCTTTATAAAATTTACTAAAGACTCCAATATATAAAACTTCCTTCTCTCTGGCAAAGTCTTACAACTTTTTACATACGCTAACAATTATTCCCCTGCCATTAGAGTATTAGATTGTCATTACGGCATTCTATTGCATTTCTATTGAATTGAATGTTTGAAGGAGATAAAAGTAATTAAACAAATTTATTAATTAAAATAATAATAAATAAAAAAACTTAATCTTACGTCTCTTTTCATCACCCTCTCCTCTTCTATTCCCATTGTTGCCTACCCCAGACCAGTCAACTTTTCCTTCCCTTCGTCTTCCCCTTCATCAAGATGACCCTAGTAAAGTATCAAAATCCCCTCTCATAGGGAAATATACGTTTTTAGAAAACATGAAAGGCGTTTAATACTTCTTCATCTCTTAGAGGGGTGAGTAATAAAAACCCTGGGTTTTAGAGATTGAGTAAGATTGGTGGTGGTAATGGGTATCACAACTAATAAACAAGAGAAAACCTTGAAGATCATATAAATAGAAATTGTAGGATGGTAAGCGGTGGGAAGCACCGGGGGTTGTAGGATTCGTTGTTGTTGGTGTCGTTGCTTGGAAAGAGGATTCGATACTGCCATGCTGGTGATCACTTGGTGGTGATTTTTGTCTTCACCTATGGCATCTGTTTTTTTTTTTTTTTTTTTTTCACTTAAGAAAAAAGGTCTGCTAACAGGAGATTTTTTTGTCTGGCTTTGTGTTCGTATTGATGGGTGGT